TTAGCTCGTATTAATTTTCAATCGAATCAGTTCATATTAATTTCTTAATTAAATTCAATTTTTGAAGTTGACTCTGTAATTGAATTAATTGAAGTTAACTGTGTAATTGAATTGATCGAAGTTAATTCTGTAATTGAATTAATCAGAGTTATTTTTGTAATTGAATTAATTCGAGTTCTTTTGTAATTGAACTAATTGAAATGGACTTTTTAAATTAAATTAATTGTGATTAACTTTTTTTATCGAATTAATTTCAATTAATCCTTTTTATTATTGAAATTAAATTCAATTAACATCACTATGAAACTCATGTTATGAGAACAATTCTCTTCGTTGCATCATTTCGTTTGACGACCGAAATCGCTATTGAACAATTCTCTCAAAGATTACTCGCGCGAGCAGCGTCAATTCTGCTCGTCTCCCGAGACGTTAATAATCAAAAAAATTTCCCCATCGAGAGATCTACAGCCGAGAATCGAAAGCACCGCGAATTTCACGCACTAAGCGAGACGCGCGCGCGCGAGCGCAGAAACGCGCTTGAAAACCAGCGTCCGTCAGGCGAAACGCGCGCGATTCGACCGGTCGCGTGACCCCGCGTGGCCCGATTAAATTTTAAATAAACAATCCGGCAATCGAACGGCATCGCCGTTTGAGCGACCGCCGTCTAGGCAAAGCGTTGAAACCCCGCGCACCCCGTATTTAATTGCAATGAATTAATTTAGCGTCCGCTTTCGCGAACCACCAAAGCCGAAGCCTAGCATTCTGTTTCCAGCGAGACCACGCGTCTGCCGAAATGCGTTAGAAAGTTTCTTACGGTTCTGCGTAAGATCGTAAGATCGGTGTATTTTTCTAACCTGCCACACGTAATCCCTCTCTGTATATACATATAGATATATATATATACAATATGAACATGTGTATGTATCAACGGTGCACGTACGCGACGCAGAACCGCGTCTATCTGTATTGTTACGGGACGAGAACGTTTGTGTGGTGGTGGGGGCGTTGTATATCTGTGTAAATATAGTATGCCGTTTCATCGACGACGAGAGTATTATGCGAACGGTCTGCGAACGGTCCGTGGAGGTCGTCCGAGGGTCCAAAACTGAGCCCGGACTCTCGGCGGTCCAGCGGAAATCGTTCGCGAGGCCGGCAGGTTTCTGTCTGCTCTGTTTCTATCTGTGTGGTGCGCGAATCGTTCTCGGGAGAGACCAAGAAAAGAGACGAGGGAAACGGAAAAGGAGAGAGAAAAAAAAGGAAAGAGAAAAAAGGCGACGAGAGATAATTGAATTTGAAACGACTAGAAACAGTGTCCGGTGGAGAGTGTATGTGTGCGTGTCGCTTACGACAGAACTACGTTTTCCTATGAATTTCTTAATTATTACTACGAATGGTCTATACAGGGCATAGATGTAAGCGCGAGCGATCTCTCAATTGCCGGAGACTAATGTTATTAAGCGGATGAAGGAGAAGAAGAAGAAGAAGAAAAAAGAAACGACTGTACCCCGTATATGCGACGTACGAACGAGAAACGAAAATGGCTATCTAAAAATGCTGCATGTACTGATGGCAATACCTATACATATTCACACGCGAGACACGAACACACGATCATCCAGAGACCGATACTACACACACGGACACTTGTTAAAATTAATAAAACATAGTATAAATTAATTTCATGGTGTTTCATTTATTTTATAGCGATCCCTTTGTGAAGGTAAGTGCTGTGTGTCTCTTTTGATTTGAAACGCTCGAATTAAGCTAGATTTTTTTTACGTCTTTTAACGCTAGATTTACGGAAACATGTACAGTACATGTACATATGTACATAGTTGTTTCATAAGTATTTTTTAATGATACATTTTTCAAGTCGACATACAAATGTTCATGCTGACGCTAACGAAAATAAATACTTAAATGGCGGAACTAAAAAATTGAAAACATTTCTTGAAATTGACGGTTAATAAATAAATCATCGCCTCAATCACAGTGTCGAAAAATTCATAATTGTTGCGTCAAAAACGAGGTAGTTTCGCGGAACACGTTACAAAAACCATATCTTCTAAAAATGATGTTTGTAGAACATCACAAAATTGATTCATTGAAATAACCATAAAATTATGATGGCTGTCTCCATAGCTTGCCAACAGATTTTTTTACTACTACGTACTTGATCCATCAGGATGAGTCTGACAAAAGAATGTTTCCTATAAATTCCTATAAATTAGTATCCAATCGATAAGAAATTGAAATTATTCGAATTTAAAAACAAATTAATTTTCGATAAAAAAAAACACATGGTCGTTGTTATATTTTTAAATGAAACTAGATAATTTCAACTTCACAGTAATGTAGACGACGTCGAGACGAGTTCAATGATCCTCTACACTATAACCTCAAACTTCGAAACACCGCTAAAATAATTCCAGCCACAGGAAGCGAATTCCTAAACCATCGTGAGTTCCGAACAAAGTCGTTTGCAACGTTTATCCTGCGACCGCTTTCTTAACGGGTGCCTCCTGTTTAACGATGCGACTGCGAACGCGGTCGCAACCAATCGGAGCGCCGCCATATAAGATGATTCGAGCGAACGAATTCGAACTTCCATTAAAACTCGATCTGAAAGCGAGCGTTTTAATTCTTGCATTATTCTCGTGCCAAGGTTTCTACATTTTTTTCAATCCAATTAAGCCCGAGAACGTACCACCAATGGCGTCTTCTAAATAGTATCTCTTCTACCGAACATGGCATCGACGAGCCCCGATAAGGAAACGAAAATGCGCCGCCTCGGAAAGCTGCAACAACCTTTCTCCGAGTTCCTGGCAACAATGTCTCCTATTCTCCCTTTCGTTCCGATCCGTTTTGCTTGCTTAATTATCCGCCGCAAGAATGTCGTCTAATTAACGCGTTCCGTGCCACGTGTTCCACCGGTGGTACACATTAAACTTGATCTTCAGGCCACGTGTACCATCGATGGTACACGCAGGCATATTTATTTCATGCGCTGAAAACATATATTTTCTGTCAAATTTAATTCTGTAAAATATATTTCCACCAAAATAATGAGCCATTATAAAATATGCAGTATAAAACAAAGCACATAGGTTTGTTCAATTGTTATATATATAATAATTAAGAAGTACAGGTTATGGTTGACCACCAAAATAATCAGGCATTCTAAAAAATGCAGTATAAAACAAAGCACATAAGTTTGTTTAATTGTTATATATATAATAATTAAGAAGTACAGGTTATGGTTGACCACCAAAATAATGAGCCATTATAAAATATGCAGTATAAAACAAAGCACTATTGTATATATATACAATAATTAAAATTACATGTAATGGTTGACTTTGTTAAAACAATCAAAATATGGCTTTTTCGGGCAATCCCTGCAAAACGTCGTTGCTCTTCTAGTTTTTTGCTACTTTAGTCCCTCGTTTTTTTATTCAACAAATTCGAATACAGCAGAATCTTTTTACCAACCTCAAGAGTTTCGAACTGAGTTTACAATCGAACTGATCGCAGCGCCACCTGCACCATAAATGGTACACGATGCGATAACTGCTGTAACCAAACTAACTACTTATGGAATGACGATGTAACAAAATATCGTGTGATAATATATCAATTTTTGCAAATCGTGCAAAAACGACTTGGCACGGAACGCGTTAAGAAACAGCTTGCGCGAAAAAGAAACGTTCAAGGTCGCGGCGAGCCACGTGCCGCGTAGACTCGATTGAACGAAAAACGAATTCCTTATGCGGCAAACAATTAATTTCCAGGCAGCCTGTAATAAAACGGGTTCGCCCGAGGACACGGTGGACGTTCGTTTTCTCGGAGCATTCGAAGTAACAGTAGCCGATGCATTTCACAGTGACAATGGTCCTGGGCCGAGCACAATACTCGCGCGAATCCAATCTGCAACGGGATCGTTTCGCATCGACTTTTACGAACGCCCCGGAAGCAAAGGGCGCCTCGGGACTCCATAAGACACCGGAGCCCTTGTTCCCGGCGACGTGCCGGGTTATTCGCGGGTCCCATTAACAGGTGGAGGAAAAAAAGGGACGCTGTGATAAAAAGCTAAAGGGGTTGCGCGAAGAAAGGGAGAAAGGGGCGAGCAGCGGCGCAGGACAGAGGTGGTCGTGTTAGAATTTTTTAACTTAATAAGAAAACACGCGACGAGATAATGGGCGGCTGTCTGACTAAGGAAGTGCCGAGATAGAGGGAAGAATGCCAACAACGATATCGGTAAAAAACACCGTGCCAGGTCGCGCTCCTGGTTATACGGAGCGGACCATCTAAATTGGAACAGCTGGGGCAGGTGCGGGTGTTACCGCGGGCGGCCCAAATACTCTGCAGTATTTTATAAAAATAAAAAATTCTCACAAAAATGATAAACGATAAACGAAACAGTCTCTCTGCTACGCGCGTTGTCCTTAGAAATATTATAACCGCGAAGACTGTTTGTAGAACCTGAGCGTTCTCGTTTAAGTGGGCCACCGTGTATACAAGGTGTCGGAGATTCCCCGCACGGAAACAAACTGATAAAGTGGAGCGGAATCTTTTCGTCCAGCGAGACAATCGAATTTCAAAGTCTGCTGCTTTCAAAGCTTCAGAGAATAAAGATTAGTTTATTCCAAAAATTTTTTATTTCCATTTATGTATTATACTGGCGGAAGTTAACGTCGATTTCCTTGAAAGCGGAGCCGCGTACCAGGCGACTGTATCGTGCGAATCAAGATCAATGTGTCGAATAAAAAGCAGCCACGTTTCGATCGTGACGTAATTTTTAGGTTATCTCGATTTGAAGAGAACTGCGGAACAATATCGACAGAGCATGTAGAGCGTTGAATTAGGATTAACATTGACCCGCCAGGAGAAAGTCGAAGAGGACGAACAGGAAGAACAGGAAGACAGAAATTGGCGAACGGGTGTGGCGAATTATGGGTCGCGATAGGTCCACGAATTGTTTTAGGGACGTACACAGATCCTTACAGTAACAACACACTTTATTTCATTCCCGTGAGAAATTAAATTATGCGCACGCTTATAATTAATATTCATGTAACAACACTTACGACTAAGCTACGTTAACTCTGTAACAACAACATACATCCCCGACTTTGGAAGTTCGTTAAACACGATCTATGGTTCTTGAGGTCGTTCGCGATCGTCATCCTACCACATAGGATGCTCCAGGCTCATCTGTAAACGGGAAAGTCATAAAAATCATGTATAATTATTGGATTGGCAGGAAAGTAATTTCGGCATTTCATTGTGAAATAAAACTTTACTATACGAGGTTATGACAAGTTTGCTACACAAGAAATGAATTTTAATCGGTCAAATATTTTCCATTCTGTTCGATGACCTTTTGCCATCTTTCTGGTGACTTCATGATTCCGCGCTCATAAAATTTCTGGTACTTATCGGTAAAAAACTCAATCGAGTGCGATTCGAGGCTATCGTTATTATTGAAATTTTTGCCGTTTGAAAAGTTTTGTAAACTTCGAAATAAATGATAATCGGATGGTGCAAGGTCGGGGCTGTATGGAGGATGCGACATCGCTTCCAAATCAAGCTCTAATAATTTTTTACGAGTTGCTAAAGATGTATGAGGCCTCGCAATATCGTAGCGAAACACGATTCCTTTGCGATTTGCCAATTCCGGCCTTTTCACTTCGATTGCTTTCTATGGTAACCTAAACGCGTCAACTATCAAAGCCGAAGACAAAAATATTATAACCTTAACAAAAGAGTGACAATGCAAACATAACGCTATCTATTGGTGCAAACCGAGATTACTTTTTTGCCAATCCCATAACCATAAACTTTACATATCTTTTTGCGAGCTTCGGCCGCTTTCTTGCTTTCATGAAAATAAAAGAGTAAAACGTGTCGGAAATGTTCATTTCTGTATTAAAATTAACAGCGAACAGTTGTAAACAAAGCTCCACGATTTCTATAGTAACCTATAGACCTAACCTATAGTAACCTATACTAATCTAAACGTGCCAACTATCAAAGCCGAAGACAACAAAGGAATTCTAACCTTAACGAAAGAACGACAACGCAAACATAACTCTATCTATTGCCGCAAACCGAAATTACTTTCTTGCCAATAGAAAAACGCTCCTCCGGCGTGTCACGGTTTCCTCCGCTCGCGCAACGTCGTTCTCTCGCGAACACAAGATCTTCCTTCTCGCGACGCCGCAAGGAATAATCGATTGGAAAGGCCCTCGATATGGAAACACCTGCTCGGCGAGGCCGCGCGTTGCAAATATAACGCACTCGTTCTCTCCCTCGTCGTCGTCGTCGAGTTTTCGCCGGCGCGGCGGTATGCAAACACGAACTTAACTCGGGACATAATTAACGTAAATAAGAAACTTATGCAGGAAGTTGAAGGCGCACCGCATCCTTCGGCGTCCGCCTTCTTATTCGCGCATCGATACCCTCTGCGAGCGGGGTAGCCGAACAAGCAGCTTTTGCGAGCAACAGCTTATCAACTATGCAGGTAATTTTGTTGGAGAGCCGGGATAACGGAAGTCGTAACATCAGTTAATTACCAGACCGTTCGGTACGGCGAGTTAACGATTCACGAATTTCCGGAGAGTTGGCTAATCTATCTTTTCCGAACCGATGGGAGAAGGAGTGGCGGAGAGGGGGGGGGGACGATGCGGCGATTAATAATGAAACGATTCGGCGCGATAAATAACGGCTCGTTGATTTGCTACGCCGCCGCACAGTGGGCTGGATCGAGAAATTCAGCGACATTCTGTTATAACTTTTGAACCATCGAAGATATTGCAATGAAATTTTCACCAAAAATATTTAAAAAATCGTTATCTTCAGCTATAGATAATTAAATTTGTTTTGCATTTGTTAAACAATAATTTTTAATTAATTTTATTGACATTTTTTGTGAACAAAAAAATTGTTTAAATATAATGTCGCAAAGTTTGTTTCGTTTACTTATATTTTTCATGTTACATGGAATAATTAAAAATTTTACATATCGGTCGATTTACAGATGAAGAAGCGTTCTGTAATACCGACTGGAACACAGAGAGATTATCTTCGATATCTTTTACCTCGAAGTAACGTAACGTCGATATCTTTAAAACGTAATGATTTACAATCTGGTTCGTCTTGGTATGTAACTTTTACAGAATCACGTAGAGAAAAGTATCCTGAAAATATACCGTTTGTCCGAAACCGTGAGTCCTTGGGTGTCGAAAGATAATTCCTTGTCGAATATAAAGAACTTTTACACTTTTCGTATTTTATTAAACATTATATTTTTCATCGTATAGGATACGATAATCTAAATTTAAGCTACTGTTTCCTAACGANTATTGCAATGAAATTTTCACCAAAAATATTTAAAAAATCGTTATCTTCAGCTATAGATAATTAAATTTGTTTTGCATTTGTTAAACAATAATTTTTAATTAATTTTATTGACATTTTTTGTGAACAAAAAAATTGTTTAAATATAATGTCGCAAAGTTTGTTTCGTTTACTTATATTTTTCATGTTACATGGAATAATTAAAAATTTTACATATCGGTCGATTTACAGATGAAGAAGCGTTCTGTAATACCGACTGGAACACAGAGAGATTATCTTCGATATCTTTTACCTCGAAGTAACGTAACGTCGATATCTTTAAAACGTAATGATTTACAATCTGGTTCGTCTTGGTATGTAACTTTTACAGAATCACGTAGAGAAAAGTATCCTGAAAATATACCGTTTGTCCGAAACCGTGAGTCCTTGGGTGTCGAAAGATAATTCCTTGTCGAATATAAAGAACTTTTACACTTTTCGTATTTTATTAAACATTATATTTTTCATCGTATAGGATACGATAATCTAAATTTAAGCTACTGTTTCCTAACGAAAAATATTGCCTCCCAATGTTAAAAAAGAAAGCGAAGGAAAAAATTAATTAGGTTCGTCCGGGACATCGCGAGGATGTCAAAGCTTCACGGTTTTTATAGTAACCTATAGACCTAACCTGTAGTAACCTATAGTAATCTAAACGTGTCAACTATCAAAGCCGAAGACAACGAAAGAATTCTAACCTCAACGAAAGAACGACTACGCAAACATAACGCTATCTATTGCCGCAAACCGAAATTACTTTCTTGTCAACCCAATAGAAAAACGCTCCGCTCGCGCAACGTCGTTCTCTCGCGAACACAAGATCTTCCTTCTCGCGACGCCGCAAGGAATAATCGATTGGAAAGGCCCTCGATATATTTTGGCATATTTTTTGGCGTCGAATGTAGCGTTCAAAATGTTCAACTTTAAATTGTCGTGTCTCTTACAATTTACGATCATTTTTATTAATATTCACTGGACATCGATATCGAGAAAATTAGGTTTTTGTCAAAAAGTCACTAAAATCTTCGATCCGGCCCACTGCGCGCCGTGGCCGGAGTGTAACGGGAGATATTCACTCGCGCGAGAACGATGCGACGCGTGAACGAAGCGATTCGTCGCCGGGGACGCGAGCGAAAGTTCGCGGCGACGCGTCGCCGCTTAATAGGCGCGCAAAGTCTCGGAACTTTTCGCGCGGGGCCGATATTTCAGGCACCGGCGGAAAGTGATTGCGAGCGGGCAATGTACCAGGAAAGTTTCGCGGCCGAAACGGCGAGGGTGAATCATTAAACTATGGAAATCTTGCGATCGATGTATCGTTTAAAATTCCTGCGGCCCGTGCTCGAACAAAGCCCCCCGGAACAACAAACTTTTGCCGTGCGAGTATTTGTGTTTTCCGAGGGGTGGGGGGAGGAGGACGCAAGTTTCGGCCGAAAGCGAACCATTGAACCACGAACGAAGCCACTTTCTGATAACCGGTGAACCGCGTGCCCGGGCATACGTTCCGCTGCGTTCGAGAAGTTTCGCGAATTTTCGGGCCCTCGCGATGCATAAGACAATGCGGACCGGGAAGCGCGCGCGAATGGGACGATCATCAATTCTCGGGGGAATCGGAAAATCTGCTGCGGCGCTCGGCGAGACCGGCTGAAAGCGCGAGCGTCTCGCCTCAAACGATTCTGCAAATACGGAACTGGGAGTCTCTTGCTTTGCGCCTAATGGCGCCCGAAGTTCGAATCTGAAGCGTTTCTGTCGTGTAACAATTTACAAGAATTCAGGTGTAGCTTCGTTATTATTAGAAACTTCGGATAAAAAGAACATGACGAAATGTCAGACTCAAACCGATCCCTTTAAGCTTCAAATAAAGATAATGTAATGAAGAGTCAGGTTCGGTGGACACTTGCTTTGAAAGCAAGTTCTGTGAACATAAACACGTACAGTCGCCTCGGAAAGTATGTTAATGACTTTTCAATCGGAATAACCTTTTTAAAGTTGGTTCGGAGGACTTGAATTTTTTTTAGGTGTTGGATCGACTATTTTTCTAGATAGAAATGATGAAAACGTTGGTTCAAAGGACTTGAATTTTTTTTAGGCGTTAGATCGACTAGTTTTCTATATGGAAGTGATAAAAAAGTTGGTTCAAAGGACTTAAATTTTTGTATGTATTAGGTCGACTAGTTTTCTAGATAGAAGTGATAAAAAAGTTGGTTCAAAGGACTTAAATTTTTTTTAGGTGATGATAAAAACGATTAAAAAACGGTGTTTTTTATGATAGGAATAATCGTAAATTAAAAAGTTAGTGACTCGTCATTTTGACCCGCCAGTTCCGTAGATATAGTGTTATAGAAATTTAATAAATTAATTTAATAGATTATAATTAGTAATAATATTAATAATTTTAATAAATTACTCTTAGTGGCTGTAGCTCGACTATGCATCGACCGATTTCGATGAAATTTTCAGCATGCATATAAATTACCGAGATCTAGAAGATGCATTTTTTAAATTTTCGTTATGGGCTCGCATAAAAAATTGAAAAAACAACTTTTTAATTTTTGCAATCTAAAAATCTCATATATAAATACTCATTTCATAAAAAACTAGTTGACATCTCAAAAACATCTCAAATTGTATCTGAAAAATATTCAAGTCCCTTGAACCAATTTTGAAAAAGTTATTCCAATCGAGAAGTCGTTAACATACTTTCCAAGGCGACTGTATTTCTGCATAGAAGGGAATCGGATTCCGTAAAAACTATTTTAGTCCAATCCTTTCTGTCAAGGCTATTCAAAGCTTCGAATAACAAGAATCGCTTAAACAAGAATCGGATTCAGCGGAAATTCCCAACCAAATATTTCTGGAAAATCATTGCAAAATCAAAATGCAAAAATACTGTCCCTAGGAAAGAAAGGGTTATATTATAAGGGCTTGAAAGAAGGGCTTAAACAAGAATCTGATTCAGCAGAAATTCCCATCCAATTATTTTTGCAAAATCATTGCAAAATCAAAATGCAAAAATACTGTCCCTAGGAAAGAAAGGGTTATATTATAAGGGCTTGAAAGAAGGGCTTAAACAAGAATCTGATTCAGCAGAAATTCCCATCCAATTATTTTTGCAAAATCATTGCAAAATCAAAATGCAAAAATACTGTCCCTAGGAAAGAAAGGGTTATATTATAAGGGCTTGGAAGGATTACATCGAATCGCGTAAACTCGGCATCAATTCAAGTTGAATTACAAGTTGAATTACAATTCAATTGCAATTCAACAATAAGTTGAATCGATTCAACTTCCCGTACTCGATTTCATCGCATATACACGAAAAAAAGGAAAGTAAAGTGCACACTACAGTAATGTCTCCCTTACTGACGCTCAGATTGTCCACAAAAAATGACACAATTTGGGAAGAGGAGATACGATTAATCGAGCCTTGCAGCTCGTTTTTATAGCTGTTGACAATTCGTAACTATAACAAATGAACCATAATGATCGAATAATTGAATCTTCTCTACCTAAATTGTCCATTTTTGTAGACAATCTGTGAGCGTCAATTAGGGAGACATTACTGTATTTTATGCCGACACCGTTGCCAGTGTCAGCACGTTATTGAATGGTCTACGAAGTTCGCGACAATGTCGCGGAAACGTCGGGACGATTCTTCCGGAATGTAATTGCCTAAACCGTAAACCTTAAACAGTAACAGCTGTGCGCTAAACATACGGAGGGGGGAGGGGTGGCTGTTGGCAACGAGGCCGGCTAGCATAGAGGCGCAATTACACGTTGAAAATTTACCTTGGAGAACGTGGGAAGCTGGTGTCGCGGTAATTCCGGCAAACTTAAGCCCACCTTCGCGATGCCGAGCTCCAGCGGCCGTGGGGCAGGATTACTCGACCGTAAGGCGTAATCTATCCCGCCGTAGCCGCCGTAGCCGCCAAGCTGCAGCTGCAATCCTGCACAGAACCGCGCGTGTTACACACGGGTTACATGCTCCGGACGAACGCCGAACCGATCCTGGACACCCGTTACCGAGCCGGGATAACGGACCACGGAAAAACGCGTTTCTATCGCGATCAGCGAGATCGGTAAAAGAAAAAACGAACAGTAAATTAATAAAAGGAAAAGATCGATCGAGAAATCGAGGTCGTTTATCAAAGAAACGATCGAACCTCTGGTTTCGGAACAATTCAATTGAACTCAATTTAATTGAATCGAATTGAGAACAAAAATTGTACTTCTAAAAAATTTATTTTATAAACTATTGAAACACTGCATTTTGTTTTCATTATTCCATTTCAACAAAAACTCAAATATACAGGGTGTCCCAAAATTATGGTATTTCGGAGAAATGAGGAATTATTATTATTAAGGTGATTTGAAGTAACTTTTTCCTTAGCGAAAATTCAATCCGCAGCTTCGTTTACGAGATATTAACGAAAAACGCTGACCAATGAGAGAGTTAAGATCAGCCGGCGCTAGACGACGCACCGCGGCGGAGCCAATGAGCGGAACTGAGCTTCGCGCGCTCGTTGGCTGGGTCGCCTCGCGCCAGCAGGCGAGCTCGCCTCTCATTGGTCAGCGCTTTTTCGTTGATAACTCGTTAACGATGCCTCGGAGAGAATTTTTGTAAAGGAAAAAGTTGCTTCGAATAACCTCAGGAATCTCTAATTTCCCAGAAGTACCATAATTATGGGACACCCTGTATATACTAGCAATATAAAATGAAAAAGTAAGGCTAAAATATGTAATTTTAGTTGTCATATATTTTTTTTTCTATTTTATGTATGGAAACCGTCCACTATGCAACAAATTGCATTAGAAAACACCGAATTTTTGATTTTCTTACAATGATAATAAACTTGGAGCAATTTTCGAACAGAGGATCCGTACTTCGATCGAAGCTGCTGCAAATGGAAACGTCGTCGAAAACGTTGGAAAAACTTTTTTTTTACGTCTGAATTCACCATAGATCTCAAGATTAAAGCTTCCCCGTTACAACGATCCTCTAAAACTAGATATACGATCTTTTTACACGATTTTTACGCGATTCGTTTTATTGTGCTTTGAATGAGAGCTGTACTGCCAACTTTGTAGAAATAGAAAATGCTCCCATTGTTCCTCTTTTTTTCCCCCGTTCCATAAAACCGCCGAAAAAGTCGAGTTTTAGGAGGAAGTCGTAAAAATGTCAATCTGCAAACCTATACTTTAGTCACAGTTAAATTGTTTTCAACGTTCAAACGCGGTTGTTTCGATCGTAGCATCGTTTCCTATCTTTTTTAAACCTGTCTCCAAATTTCCGTCGATTGCGTTACGCAAGAACAGCTTAGAAAAAAATGTGAACGTTCAATCCTGAAAGTACAAGCTTCAAACTTTAAAACGAATCCTTTTTTTATCGTTTCGCAATTTTTCTTTTCCACGATAGTGTAATACTTGAAATATTTACCATTACACGAATACCAGTGATTTATCGTTTGCGATTGTAAATCTTAGCTATTTTAACAATTATCGTAACACCTATTGTCCCGAAAAAAAGAAATATAAGAAATAGAAATAAAATGTATTAAAGTATATCAAAGACAACGATTAAAGCTTCCGCAGCAGCAAATCCAAAGAAATGGCCTCGTATCGCATTTCTCACAGAATAGTGATGTGCCTGTATTTTCGGACCACCCTGTATGTGCCGCGCGCGAGAACGCGTACATCCCGGACAGTGACAGTAACGCGTTTCTACTTTAATTAATCGATATTACCTGTAGAGTAGGAGAGCGGCTGACTACTTGCCGCTCCAAATTGACGCAGCTGGCCTACATGTTGGAAATTCTGGCCTAAGTTCAAAGTGGGCATGCTGGCGGGCAGGGCCGCTGACATACTAGCAGGTATGCCCGCAGATATGCCGGTGTTCAAACCTGCCGGGTAACTGTTGAATATACTCGTCGGGTGACTTTCCGGGATAGCGGTCCCCAAGCTCGATGGCAGCGTTGTACCCGCAGCGAAAACGTCGAGGGACGAACCTGCGGTTCGAAAGTTCGCCGTTTGAATACTTGAACGTCTGCAGGCGCTTTAAAAGCTCGGCAGCTTCGAAGTTTCCGGCTTGCTTGCATCAAAATTATCAGCTCGGCAAAAACTTTCGAGACGTCAACGCGCGGTAATCGAAACTTCAATTTGGAAACCCGTCTGTTTAACCCTTTGCTCTACGACCCTAACTAGTTATGTTCATATTTGGCTCGACTGAATCATCGTGGCTCTAATTTCTAGCCCGATTTTTTTACCACGTCTCTCAGACGTGATAATAATTTCTGGCCCGATTTTTTGATCACGTATCATAGACGTAATAGTAATTTTCGACCTGATTTTTGGGCCACGTCCCTCAGACGTGATAATCATTTATGACCCGATTTTTGGACCACGTCTCTCAGACGTGACAATCACTTCTGTCCCGATTATCCGCCGACGTCCCCGAGACGTGGCCGTAGAGCGAAGGGTTAACAGCAAAAAATCGTAACACGAGAACCCGAGCACGCATTTCGCGGCGCGAAATTTCGCGAATTATGACGTTCTAAAGCCGCGCGCGCGCGCGCGCCGAAACTCGCTGAGAGCACGATATAAAAGAGCGAAATTGCGAGTGGCACACGCGCGTTATTTACGGTCAACGGGCGGCGAAGGTGAACCGGTCGGATTCGAGCGCGCGGTCGATGGAAAATTTCGAAAATTATAACTGACCCGGTTCGGAAGCGGGCCGAATGAGACTGTCAATAAACCCGAGGCCGATGCGACGGGGTTCGCGCGGGTACCGTGCCGGAAATAAGGCCGGATGAAAGATTAAATTTTTCCTCGAGGATCCTCTCGATCCCGGGGCGAACAGGAATCGGACATTTATCGGCGGGAAGTTTATCGGTTCGTATAAGCGGGCCGTACCTAAAGGAAGACTGGTGGACGCGGTGTCCTGGCCCATGTAGCCGGAGACCCTCGGCATAGTCGCGGGAACGTAGTTTATGCTCTGCAACGGCCGGGAAACCGCTGACAATGTCGCCAATGGGATGCCGGGCAGAGATAGCTTCTGCCTCTCGGACAGCGTGCTGGCCAGCGGCATGTAATTCACGGTCTCCGGCAGCGAAGAGTGCTGAACGGGTAGGTCGCGGTTCGACTCCTGTTGCAACAGATAGTTCAGGAAGGAGCTCTGCAAGTTGTCCTTCAGCGGCAGCTTCGATTCATCCTGGAGCACGTAGTTGAACGCCGGGCTATGGTTCTTGCTCGGACCGCTGTTAATCGCGCTCTGGAGAGGCACGTAACTTCCCAACGAGTTGTCGTTGCCGCCCTTCACGGTGGTCTTTCCTTGTTGCGACAGGAAATAGTTGAGCAGCGATTGCTGCAGCTTGTTCTTCATGCCACTCGTGACGTAATAGGAGCCCGGCACTGTGAACTTTGTCGTTTGGTATTCGCTCGGAGGCATTGTGCTGTAAATTGAGTGCAGCGTGAGTGAGTCCCCCGGTAACTTCTAGACGATTTAATGAATAGAACAATTAATCGTAGACCGGTCACCCGCGTCTAATTAATTACTGACACTGGTTGCGATGTACGCCATATTGACTACGTATTACTGTTGTAATTTCGGTTTGCGCCAATAGGTAGCGTTATGTTTGCATTGTCATTCGTTTGTTGACACGTTCAGCGCTGACAATCGACCACCAAAATTCCCACAAAGTCGAGGCAAGTTAATTCATTAAATTAGACAGTTAATGTTTATTATAGTGGACGACGTTAGAACTGTTTCGCATCCGAAACATCCTAGTCGAATTCAGTTTTTTCGAATATATTACGATGAAAATGAATTTTGAAAATCGCTGAAAAATTAGTGTCACCCTTATGTAACCCACGAGGCGCTCAACGTGTTAAGGTTATGTCAAAGTTATATCTTTTTATAATTTTTTTGTTTTCGGCTTTGGTAGTCGACGCGTTTAGGTTACTATAGAAACAAATTCCGTGTAGTTTTGTTTGCAACTGATAGTTTTCTGTCAATTTTAATGCAAAGTGAACATTTTCGACACGGTTTACTTTTTTATTTTCACGAAGGCAAGAAAGCGGCCGAGGCTCGCAAAAAAGATATGTAAAGTTTATGGCTATGGGATTGGCAACAAAGTAATTTCGGTTTGCACCAATAGGTAGCGTTATGTTTGCATTGTCACTCTTTTGTTAAGGTTATAATATTTTTGTCTTCGGCTTTGATAGTTGACGCGTTTAGGTTACCATAGAAAGCAATCGAAGTGAAAAGGCCGGAATTGGCAAATCGCAAAGGAATCGTGTTTCGCTACGACAATGCGAGACCTCACGCATCTTTAGCAACTCGTAAAAAATTATTAGAGCTTGATTTGGAAGTGATGTCGCATCCTCCATACAGCCCTGACCTTGCACCATCCGATTATCATTTATTTCGAAGTTTACAAAACTTTTCAAACGGCAAAAATTTCAATAATAACGATAGCCTCGAATCGCACTCGATTGAATTTTTTACCGATAAGTACCAGAAGTTGTATGAACGCGGAATCATGAAGTTACCAGAAAGATGGCAAAAGGTCATCGAACAGAATGAATAATATTTGACCGATTCAAGTTCATTTCTTGTATAGTAAACTTGACATAACCTTGTATATATAAAGTTTTATTCAACATTGAAATCCCGAAATTACTTTTCTGCCAATCCAATAGAATAGTGAGTTGACTCGCCGGCAAATTGACTCCGTGTCAATAATTCTGACTCGAAGTCGAATTGACTCCGTATCGATACCGGTGACTCGACGTCAAATTGACGCCTAGCGGTACCATTATTAATATCGAGTCGGTTTCACGTCAAGTCGCTATTATTGATAGGGAGTCTATTCGACGTCCACTGACAATTATTGACCAGAGCTAATTTGGCATAGCGTTACCATCGATGATATTGAAACAGTGGTCGCCGATTGAACGTTGATAAATGGATGGAATTAGCGTCTAATTTAGGTGTCGCAGAAAATGCGGTACTCTCTTGATTCGACGCGAAAATGGTAATTGAGAAATCGTGTCTTTGTCTATTAATCTGAGAAGATGACAGTTGTGGTGAAATTAATTTCTACTCTTGATTGTTTCAATTGTTCAGAAATGACAAGAATCCTTTTTTCAAGAAATGCACACGACCCTCGGTCTATGGTAAATTATAATATAATTTAATTATGTTATAATTTATTATGTATATAATATTTATATAATATCTATATAATATAAAATTATATAATAGTTATATAATATAAAATTATATAATATTTATATAATATAAAATTATATAAATTATATAATAATATATTATACATAATTACACAATTTATTATTATATTATAATAATAGTAAAATCTCTAATTTCCCTTCAATTTGTAAATAAAAATGGCCAATCTGAGCGTCGATTAGGGAGAATTCACTGTGTTTTCAATGACACATAAAATCTGAAGAAGCAACACTTCAATTTTACAAGGTGTATTAACATTTGAGCACAGTGAGATGTGTCAGCGGGCGTCCAACGCGCGTTCTAATGAATGTTTTACTGTTCGCAGCCGGGTTGAAATGTCATCGGGAAAATGACCGGGGATCGCATTTTAAATAGCAAATAATGGATAGCAGAAATAGGTTTCAAGAATAGACAGGGGCCGAGAGAGAGAAAAGGCCGCATCCGGTCGAGCGAGTAATCAATTCGGACAGTGCCATTACGTACTGTCTGGTGAAGGATATGATTGGAGATTCCGTGGGCACGACAGGTAAGCTGGCCACTGTCGGCGGATGAGCCAAGTTCGAAGATTGCTTCGAGGTGACCGATACCGCTGCCGCCGTGGAGATCGCCGGCGTGGTGGTGGTGCTAGCTGTGCTGTCAGCCAGCTGAAAGCAATTATGAACTTTTATTGCACCTTTTAAGATCCGGGGGGTGTCGCTCCGCCCCAATGAGTCCAGTTCGGAACTTGTAAAGGGATTACGGCCATGGTTGATCTGAAGTGCCGAAACGATGCACCGGACCAATTTTCTTCGATTTTGATTCCCCCGTCAGAATTGAATCCGCAACTAACAAAGCAGCCGAAACGTGTATCGACTGGATCGACCATTGGATCAGCTGCGATTAAATATATAAACCGCGTGGTTAATTAACTCGACGTAACGTTACACTCGTTTCGCAGAGGACACTGAAATTATAATTTGTTATTATCGTAAGAAGCACTTTTGCAAATAGAATTCACAAATTTCTTGTAAGTATAATTCACTTTATTCGTAGCAAAAGCGAACGTTGTTAGTACACAATAGTACATTTTATACTATTGTCCAGTAACTTTTATCGACGTTTAGACAGTACTTAAGGCTAGTCGCGTTGTTTATGTTACGACGAAATTGGCATATATACAGCGTAGTATAACATCGGCGTAGCGGGAAAAATCGATGAATTGCAGGGCCGTGGCAACGTCGCAGCGCGAATCCGAGAATACTGAAGTTCGGCGAATCCCGGAGAAATTGCTGTAATTATTGTTATTCGACCAACTAGTGCCCGACAATTGATTTAATTTTTCACATGTTCCATTGAGGCCGTGTCTAGAAGGATTGAAAAACATTGATAGATTATGCTATAAGTGACCGTAAGCATGCTCGGTTACATTCTCGTCACAAAGGTCCGCCGTTCGATTGTCAAAATTAGTCGTAAAAATGGAAGAAAGTAAGCGAATTGTGAACACTTATCGTGCCGACTTGGTTTGCATACTATAATGCGACGAAAATCTGAGCGTTTGAACTAATTCTTGCAACCGAATAAATTTCGCAAGTATCGAAGAAGAACTTTCGACGATTAAAAAGTTTCATCAAGTTCGTCGAAAAATAGGATTTCAGTGGGAAAGCATCGCGGAGGAAGACAAACACACTGCGCGCAAGCGCTTTTCAGTCGTATCGAATAAGAGAAATTAAATTTCAATTCGATGCACAAACAATCTGGTTCCGTCGCGAGTTAAAATAGGAAACGCGAGATTTGATGGATCGCGAATGTTTTTCGACCGGTAAGTTAATTAGTGGACAACACCGAGGCGATGCGTTATAATTGAATTCGCAGGAATAACCGATGCACGCACACCGAAGAAAAATGACCCCGAAGATTTTCGACGAAGCAAGATCGATCGTGCCGGCTGAAGCAATATTTGCTAATTACGGCGGTAGCGTGGCTGTCGAAGATAAGAGAAATTGTTTTCTGCTGAAGAGACTGAAATGTTAAATTATAATCGTATCGCCTCTTCCCAAATTGTTCATTTTTGTGCGCAATTTGAGCGCGAATTAGGGAGAAATTACTGTACT